TGCGATCGATTCCCCAAGCTTACCGACACTCAATTGATTGAAAATGTCGCGCACTTAACAATTATTGTGCAATCGTGTCAAACAATACGCACAAAGTGTTTACAGTCAGAAATGTGCAATTATTGCAGCCCATAAAGTGCATAAATTTAGTTTTATGCTTACTTAAAGTCTTTGAGTAATATTTATTTTTGCCTAAAATAAGTTTCTATAATTAATACTAAATAAATGCTCGGTCAGTTATTCAATTTGCCAATTGCCAAAATGTAAACAACGCCAACAAAACCCCAACAACAATATGCAAATAAGCTCCGTATTGACAAAAGACTTTAAGAGAAAAAAAACACCTAAAACAAATAAAAATTAAAAAAATGCAAAAATTATAATAAATCTGAGCAACTGCAGCAGCAGCAGCCGATGCTTGACTCATGCCAGCCGGCTTCTCGGTATCTGAGCTTCTACAGCTGGTTAATTATTGTGAACCGGCGTCACCTGCCCGTCCGCCCCTTTGCCACCTTTGTTAAACGGCCGCAACCCGTTTTTTCATTTCAATTTCAATTGCCATTCAATTTCGCTCCTGATGCTGCTTCTTCTCGTTCTTATATATAAAGAAATATACAATATATATATGTATATATATATATGTATCTTAACGTAGCACAGATATGGCAATTGAGCCGTTATTAAGTCAGCTGTTTTCTGTTTTTGTCGTTTTGTTTTGCTTCGAGTGCATTCCGCACACCCGCAGATACTTTAATTGTATCTTTTATTGCTGCTCTAAATCCCTCAGATACTTTATCTGTTGCTGTGGCTCTTGCTACGTAAATATCTTTAAAGATATTCCTTACATACTCAACTGTATCATATGTATCTAGATCGATAGCCTATAGATACTTTATCTGCAACTGTAGTAAGTATCTGTAAAGATATTCCCCAAATCTTATTGCTGTGGCTTTGTATATATCTCTATTGATATCTTACAGATACTTTATCTGTTTCTCCATATCTCAGATACCTTATCTGTATCTACAGCCCTAAAATACCTTACCTGTATCTGTAGCTGTTGCATCTTTATCAACTTCCTATCTATTTCTCCATATGCATCTGTATCTATATCCCATAGATACTTTTTCTGTATCTGTAGCTGTTGCTATGCATCTTATCTGTAGCTATTTCTCCATATGCATCTGTATCTATAACCTGTAGATATTTTATCTGTATCTAAACATCTATACATATATATGCATCTTATCTATAGCTATTTCTCCACATGCATCTGCCTCTATATCCCGCAAATATTTTATCTGTATCTGTAGCTATTGCTTCATTTGTATCAGTATCTGTGCCCGCGTTATTCTAGTTGCGCTTGCGTGGCCCGCGTCGAGCCATTGCCAAAAGCATTTGTGGAATGCCACCAAATGGAGAAATTTTCCTATGTTGCGTGTTGCAAGTGCGTTTTGCCTTGTTGCAGCTGCAGTTTGTCATGTGGCACAAGCCACACATGCGGCACGCTCGACTTGAAATATGCGCATAATTGCAGTGCGTAGCAAATACGAATGAAATATCACTTAGATACCAATGTGAAATAAGCTCTAGAAATTATATTTCGCACTTTATCAATTCTACACGCCGCGTGTTTCAAAATTGGTCGTGAATCTCGTACATTATTATTGTGATAACTATATTATATCATTTTTAGATAGACGCGAAAACATTTTTATATATTAACTAATCTAGTAGAGTTATTTACCTAGTAACTAATTTGTGAAGACAGCTGAACCTAACATTCAAATAACAATCCTAATATTGACAGCAGAATAATCTTTGACTAATTAAAGAATATCTTCAATTAGGCATGAATGGCATTGCACAAGCTGAACAAACTGATTTCCTAATCATAATTGCAGACAATTCCACGCTATTCTATTCTATTCCCAACCATTCTATTGGCTGAACTATTGTCATTGTTTGGGAATTATGCTAAAAGCCTTGCTTGAACTACAAGTATTGTCCAAAAGAGTCTTAGAACGACAACGGGCCATAGATACATAGACAATGCTGTGAGCTGTGGCATGCTTAACATACATCATTTTCTTGTGAGGGGTCGGGTAGCAGGAGTATAGAGTCAAAGACATTGCCACATGATTGTGCAATGCCATTCAGCAAGTGCTGCGACTGCGGCGGCGGCTGCAATGAGAACTCAGAGACATTGGGGCAATTAATTGAAGAAATCACGCACTTAGAATCCCAAATGCAGTATGGTCATAAATTCTGAAGAGAGATAGAGGGTGAGCCAGATGGGGGCGAGAGACAGCGAGCTGGACAGAGAACAAAGCGAGGCGCATTCAATGACTTTGGGGACACCATAACGATGACTTCCATGGCCTGGACACAGGCACAAATACGGCTAACGGGCTGCCTCTATGAAAGATAAAAAGCATACAAAAAAAAAACTCAACGACAATTGAAAAAGCAAAGAAAAACTGTGAAGAAGCAGCAGCAACACAATTCTAAGGCAGGCGACAAGTTTTGCATATTAAAAACGCAGAAAGAGAAAAAACAAACAAGCTTGTGTAAGGCGAGCATGCCCGAACAGCAGACACCCTGTAAGCAGGCTATTGTAAATAAAGTTTTAAATAATTTTCGAGTATATTTGTAGAGCTTTGATATGATATTCTAGTCTGTGCGTATATCAATAAGCCAAGCAATGCTTCGATATGCTTTCTATATTATATTCTATTTCGAGACATTGCATGGATTTTTTATATACGATCCCATTTTTTACAAACCTGAATACATTTCATTCCTTTTTTCCTACCCAAACTCTAGCTAAGACAGTCTCTGAGATCGACCCATTTATACAGAGAACCCTACTAAACTAACTCGACTCGACAGTTAAGGCTGATCAGGTACAAATAAGTTTCATGAGCTACTTTGAGCAACTGCAATATACCCTATTATTGGTCACCTATAATTGCTGCAGGGTATACAAAACTCAAGATTGAATAACAAATTGTATGGCAAATTATTGTGTATGGTAGCTGCATGTACGTTGTTGTCGTAATTGTTGTTGTTGTTGTTGTTGCAGTTGTTACTGCTGCTGCTGCTACTTTTTTATAGCTTCTTTCACTCCAATTGTGGACGTCAGTTGAGGCTCGCACAAAAACGAATGCGCCTCAATCAGAGAATTTTAATTATTATTTTCAATTATCGAAAATGGTTTTGCGTCTGTTTCAATATGCCGCATATATATATATATATTATTGTCTTATTCTCCCTTTGTCGTTTTGGGGCTTTTCAAGTGTTTTGCTGGGGCGTCTGTTTGCATTTTGTACCCCCAAGCCGCCCCCTCCAAATGTATCTGTATCTGTATTTGCTGCTATTGTTAAGGCGTTGCTCGTAATTAGGGGGCGTTTCAATTGCGGCATATGGTTTTATTTTAATTAAATTTCTTGTCGAGATAAGCGCTTCGGTACATCCGAAACCGCAGCCACAGCTGGCCCTTCAGTTCGTGGCTGAGCGTGGCTTTTTAGACCCCAACTAGTATTTGTTTCTGTTTCTTCTTCTTCTTCTAATGTCCGACGACAAGGGCAATGAGTACTTTTCGAGTACTCAGTTTTGTTTTGTTAAGCACACATAAAAATCGGAGCCAAACAAATCCGCTGAAATACGATCGAGAGTGGAAACAACTGAAGCTTTTAGCGTGTAGCTGCAAAAGCCACAAAGCTGTTAACTGATAAATTAAACAACTGTCGCCGGGCTCTGAAACGCGAAACAATAATAAACAAACAAACAAAATGTGCGACGCAGAGCCGCAGCGTTCGCAAAGTCAGACAATCCAGTATACAGTAGTAAAAAGCTTCAGATACATAAGCTCAACTCTACCATTCTCCTATGTAGACACACAAATGATTTTTATCAGCTTGGACGAGCGCAAATTGCATTGGCCAAAGGCGCAAAACTCCAAGCTCAACAATAACAAAAATCAAAATAAAACCAAAATTACTGGAAATGATTCGCTGTGATGCGCTCTTGTGTGTATCTGTGAGATACTCGTGATCAGGTGGCGGCTGTGATCAGCGCTGCTTAGCACGCGTCAATTGACGAGACCCCCAATTTCTGGCTTAGATACACTGCACTACGAATCGAGCCTAAGGCCGATACTGAAAGCTATGCGACGGTCTATAATACAAGTGTAGATTTTAATTTCCTTTGTAGAGGATTACATGCTTTTAAAATGAGATATAAATATATATTAAAATAAAGATCCGGGAAGCAGCTTATTAAAAAAATGGTTATTATAGGACTCAGCCCATAGTTTAAAGTTTTCACATAGGAATCTAGTTTGGAAAGACCTGTGGATATCTTTCTTGAAGATTTTTAACAACTAATTTTCTCATCTACATACTATGACAATTACAATAATATATACTCTCCATATATACTCTATGGATTAAGGTTCTTTTCATTCTTAACAATTCAAACTCAGAAGTTGATTAAAAACAATCTTGATTTACTTCTATTGATTTGGTTTCTCTTAATATATTTTTTTGCAATTTCTTGTGGTATATATAGAGTATAACATATTCGCATTTGCATTTTGTGTGTGTGTAGAGTGTGTGGTTTTTCATTTTGTCGCAAATGCCATTTAGCCGAAACGAAAAATGCCAAAACTAAAAGGCAACAATAATAATGATAATTTTGTATTCGTATTCGTATTCGTATTCGTATTCGTATGTTCGAATGTCGGATGCCGCGCCATGCGGTTGGGCAAAGGCAGCAGCACATCGTGAACTGAGTACACAATGGCTAAAGTACACACACAGGCACACACACATGCAACAACTACAACTGCGACAAAAACAAAAACAAAAAGCTAAAGAAACAAAAAATGAGCAGAAAAAAAAGTAAAATCAAGTAAAATAAACCGCACGACAGCGCGAAACGGCAGCGAAAAAAACGCGTCGCTAGCAGTTTGTCACTCAATCGGCCCGCAATCAGTCGCGTTTTTTATTTGTCGTCGGTCTGCGGCATAGAACGCCGCCTAAGATACACGCGCATATCTCTGTATCTCATAGATACATTGGCAGTTACCACAAAGCGAGACGTGCGCGTCGCTGCAAGTCGCTTGAGCTGCGCACGCGCGTCTTCAACTCGAAGTGTCAAAATGTATCTATCGCATTAATTGTATCTGACAGATACAAAACCGAAATAAAAAAGAATGCACTACAATGCCAACTATGCAGCATTGTTGTTGTTGTTATTATAAAATGCACATGTAGAACAAAGACTTTAAGTACAGTGAAGCTGGCGAAAGAAATGCGTGTATTGGGCTCATCTGTCTAAGGCTATCGTATCTGTGAGATGCAGATACATTTAATGCATATAATTATTGTTGTGCTTGTTACATTTGTATTTGTTCGTGCATTTTAAACAATAAGCACAAAGACCCAGCAGTACAGTGAAGCTTGCCTAACAAGTTTTCGTTAGGCTTCTATTGCTGTACTTGTATATGCCTAGAAAGGAGAAACCCTTTCATAAACATTAGATAGCTGATTTTTTATCTCTTTCGCTATAAGTACAGTAAAGCTTGCCTTACATTTACTACATTAATTTGTCAGAAAACTATTTTTCAGCTTAATTCGCATAGACAGTTATCACTGTAGTGTGCATACACTCAAAGAAAGCTTGGCTTACAGCTTGGCTTACAGACCTATGCAAAATTGCCTTTAAGTAAAACGCATGTAGGCAGTTATTACTGTATTTACATTTAATAAGCTAACTAAGTACAGTTAAGCTTGCTTTGCCAGTTTCCTTTTGAGCTCAACTTGCTTAGGCAGTCATCACTGTAGTTGCTATTGTAGCATATCACTTGATGACTTAAATAAAGTACAGTGAAGCTTGCTTAATAATGCTTGTATAATGCACTTCCCATGAACTAATCCAGGCGTGCAGTGGAAATGTTGTTTGCAAAACTAAAGTGTATATTAGCCCACATAAGCAGTTATTACTGTTGCTGTTGATAAACACTATTTACCTGGACTGAATATGCATGTAGAAACGTGTCGAATGTATTTAAATAAATTAGCTGTACAGGCACAGCAACAGCTGATTCGTTACAGAGAACAATAGCTAAACAACAATGCATCCAATAGTTCTCCCTCTCTCTCTCTCTCTCACACACACTCTCACGCTGTATATATTTATATATATACACGACATATTTGTATAAAAGTTAAACCGATTTCCGATACAGTTGGTAACGCTTGAATGCCGCAGTCTGTTCGGGGTGTGCCCCAAACACAAACACAAACAAAAATAACCAAAGAGAGCATCATAAATGCTGGCATCTTCACGATCTGAGAGCCCGAACTCATACCTGAACAATATGGGTACATGCGTAAAGTCTAGCTCAAGGTCGCCAATGACTGCGCCCTAAGTTCCATACATATATATATATACACTCTATAGAGTGTATATAGTAGACATATCTATGTACTTTGCTATGATACAATACGGGAAATTTGTTGACTTGCCGCGAATGCCGCATTTGTGCAAATATTAAAAGATGCCTTAGGCAAACAACTAGCACAAGTGTCATTAAATTGAAAACATCTATAAGAAAAGGCCACGCAATGGCTCTAGATGTGTGTGTGTGTGTTTTCCCTCACATATATCATTTTAAAACAAATCCAGAGAGAGAGAGAGTGGGAGAGGGCGAAGAGACATCACGTAATGGATTTCTTGGCGTCAGCATGAAAATGAATCACTTGGCCGCAGGCAAAGTAAATTCCAATTGAAAATAATCAGTCGGTTAGCTGACTTTTCTGGCTTGGGTTAGACCGAGGGCTACAAATGCGTATTGCCCGGCAACAAACGGAAATTGTCAGTTGTCAATTTTTTGAGAACAGCAGCAACGACAACAACAACTCAACACAACAAAGGTGTGCGGCATATTAAATACAAAATGTCAACAGCTCGTCAACCCAAAAATACTTATATACATTATGCATACATATACATATCTATGTATATTTTGAACATAAATGACTACTCAAAAGAGTGCACATTAGAAAAAAAAGGGCAAAACAATTTGGTTAAACATGCTAGTGGCATATTTTTCAATATTTTTGTTGGGAAAATCCCAATCCTAAAATAAATAGTTAAGGAATATCACCATAAACTTCTTGTACAGTGAATAATGTAGCATTATCGGGTTTGTAAGGTTTACATTCTTCAAAAACTATTGTTCTTATATTATTCTTTTCTATATTATAAATTATATTTTTCACTCTACATACCTGGAAGACCATCTTCTCAAATATTTGATATAAAGATATACAGATTGTACTCCTCAATCCTTCAAACAATAGCTCGCCCGAGAATAAAGTCTCTAGAATAAATTAGAAATAAATATATTAAAATACATATATCAGAAGCATAATTGTATAATTTTCTATGCGCCTCAATTAGAGCTTGGCTTGAAAAACTGTCGATAATAATAATAATTAATTTATATAGCTCACAGTTCCTTTACTGTCTTAATTTCCAGAAGAAAGTTAAATGAAATGAAAATAAATTTAAAAATAATTGTAATCAATAGCTGTACAATACAGCTCTCTATTTCAGAACTCTATAGTTAAAAACAAGTCATGAAGAAATCGTGGTTATTAGATATAATATCACTCTATCATAGAAATCTCTATATCTTCTTGACATCGTTTAAGTAAAAACCTAGCCTATATCTATAGGTCGTATGTATGTCTCTGTATCTTTCTCTCTACCTCTCTGTATCTCTTTCTCTCCTTCTGTATCTTCCTCTTTCTCTCTTTGTACCTTCTTTGTCTCTCTTTCTCTCTTTCGCTCTATCTCTTATTCTCCCTCTATCTTTATCTATGACTATCCCCCCTCTCTCTTTCCCTTTATTTTACTTTCTTTCTTCCTTTATCTCTCTCTCGCACTATCTAAACTTTTCACTCTCTCGCTTTTTCTCTCGAACCTCCTAAAAAAATGGCCAGCGCAATCTATTTTTTTAACATGCTTCAAATGCTTCAGTTTATAATGAAAATGCGTCGCTTTACGCTCTAAAAATTTTCAGATACCCGCACATTAACCAAAGTTCAGAGTGTAAATGTGAAGTTTATGAAGTTTATGCGATAATTGTTGATAACAACAACAGCAAAGAAACACTAAAGCAGAAGCAAAAGTCAAGTTAAAGTACAAAAAAGCACAAAGTGTAAAGTCGCAGATACTTAAATATAGATGATATCCAGACTGAGGTGCTTCAAGTCAAAGTACTATGGTAATTAGGCTAATCAGTTCTAACCGAGGCTTATGCAACCCTGTGCTAATTTCTAAGCGCAGCAATTGGAAATAAAAAAAACACTTTTATAATATAGTCGCAGTCATGTGTTGACCGAGTTGACAAATTGGTTAGTTGGCAGCGTGCAGCGAGGCGTAACTAAAAAATAATAATAATAATAATAAATGATTACAACACAAGTCAAATGGCAGCAGTTGCAACATTGCCACATGCCACATGCCACATTATGCTATTATACACATGCATATATGATTGCAGCGGCAAATCAATTGCATTTACATGTTGCAATCACTTGTGAACGATGTGTGGCAATATACACTTCACTTGCAACAAGGCTCCAGCCCCAAAAGTACAAAATGCGTTCCAACAATATTTGCACTTTCTTCGTAGAGCTTCATGTACTCTACTATATAGGCATATGTATATATATCAGCATATGAGTTTCGTTTATTTACGCATATTTATGTCTATATGTTGACCAAGTACAAACAACATGGTCCATCAGCAACAACAACAACAACAACTAGAAGAAGAGGCAGTCTGTCAATAGACTGGCAAACGTCAATTTAGCCGGGCCACAAGAAATTGAAAATAGACAGGCCCGACAAGTTGTGGAAAGCATAGAAATGAATAGAAAATGAAAATAAATAGAAAATAGTTGACATGGAAATATACTTCATTATACCAATGAACGCATCAATATATTTAAAGACACACAATAACAATCGATTGTCACATGAAAAATATCGAATTGTTAAGATTTATGGACATATGTTTCGCAGTTTGTAAGTTTGTTAACCCCAATTTTTATTTAGATAGCTGCCAAGTGTTAATCAACTCAAGAGAATGTCAAAAATGTCAGCTAAAATTGTTGTAAGCATGTGTTTTAATGCTGGAAAAGAATCGATAAGTGCGACGTAAATATCGATAATATGAAAGCGTCGCTTCTCTATTAACTCTGTCGAAAAGTGTGAACCACATTTTGAAAACATTTTTACAAAGTTCTGTCTAAATGTTTTAAGAAACACGAAATTGTTCGCAGATAAAACGAAATTGTCTTAAGAAAGGCAAAGAAAGGAAGATTTTACCAACATTTTTTTGCACATTTTTCACCTATTGATAAATTAAAAATGCACTTGACTATGATCTCTTTTGAAAATAACTTTAACATTTTTTGGAAGCCAACCATTAAAAAAGTTATAGAAGGTTTTCCACCCATTTTTCCTCATAACGTGTGAAAAACCGAGTACCAAAAAGTGTTCACAAAGAACTTCTAAAGAGAATGTGTTCAACAATTTTCCCGTCTCATAAAAGCAACAATTTAGTTATCATATCGCGGCTTTTTAAACATATGTAGACTATGCCTAAACAAAGAACATCTTTGTATTGCATTGAATTTCTAAAATGATTCTCTATATTATAGAGAATAAATGTTATTACTCTGAGCTGTGCTCCATGAGCTATTAAAATGGCATATTACGATCGACTCCGCTTTCTCTTCTTGATATTTTAGTTAGAGAGAATTTCACATAGAAATACATAACCGACTGAGACTTTACTTGCTTTACTTGTTTTTGTCGGGAATAAATAAGCTGAAATTTTCACAATTCATTTAGTGTTATGTATCGTCAGTTGTTTAGTTTCGGTTTCGGATTCCGCAGCTAGACAGACACGCCCCTACATAAACAGACACCCGCCCCCCTGTACCTTATACATAGGCTCGTTCGTTTCTTTGCAGCTATTTTCAAGCTGATTAGAGACAGGTGTCATATTATGTACCTAAATGCTATATATAGCTCTTTATAGTGAGAGTTAGAGAGAGGTGTTTACCAATGGGCGTGGCATTTGTGAAATTCGCTTTGGCCTGAAACAGTTGCCTGGAAAGTTAGGTTTGTTTAGCTGCTGCTACGTTTAATAGTTTTTATATTTAATTTTTATTGATATTTTTATTTGCTACTTTGCTATTTTTGAAGTGCAATACGAAAAAAGTGCACATTAAAATTGTTGAGGCGAAAGCCCCCTTGAACAAGGCAGCAAAATCATTTCATGAGCTGGCTCCTAACTGGCATTAAATGCAAAATCAAATAACTGTGCTATGTGATCCCCATAATAAGCTTAATAACAATAGCAAATATCGTTCGTGTGTGTGCGTAATATATGTGTATGCATATATGCATGTGACATGCCTGGCACATTAACGCTCGATATGATGCGATGATATGCAGCAAATTGAAAGTAAATAAAAAATAATAAAAATCGTAAAGAAAGAGCACAAATACAAAAAAAATATACATATTACAAAAGCAAACGGGCAATATGGCAAATTAATTAGTTATACAAAAATGGCAGACCATGAAAAAAAGTGTGCGACAACAACAACCACAAAGCTTATAATAAGAATGCAACACGCGCGGCGTATTAAAAATAAATTACAAAAATAAAAAAAAGCAAAAAAGAAATAAACATATAAAAGTTCAAATTATGCACAAGTGAATAATTGTGGTATATTTTTTTATAATGGCAGCTCACACTAAATAAATAGAAACATGTTTACGTAAACTACATGCATATATTTATTTTAAAAAAATAATAAAAATAAACATAATAATATAGCTTGCATTTGAATATAGCCCAAGAGGCTCATAAAAACAAGTTGCCCTTCTGTTTGTGTGTGTGCGTGTGTGTGGCGCCAAGTACGGGCGCATAAATATGAAAAATCCAAATACAAATATCATGGAATGCAGCAATGGCTTAAACAACAACAACAACAACAGCAACAACAACAGCAAGAGCAGCAACAACAACAACAACGGCAGCAGCCTCACAGCGTCCAATATCAACGGAAACGGAAATGGCAATGTTAGTGAGCTGCAGCTGCGCCCTCTATCGGCCAAAACAGCGCTAACAACATGTGCAACATCAGCAACAGTCCAGCCCAACAACAGCAGCAACAACAACAAATTGTGCGGCTCCGGCATGTCGCCGCACTCTCCACCCCCGCAGCACCAACTTCAGCAGCAGCAGCCCACAAACATGGCCACAAATGGCCATCAGTCGTATCCGGCGATAACGGCAACGTATTGGCTGCCGCCACCAAATCCGGCGCCATATTTAGTTCCAGGTAATTAGTGTTACTTGCAGCCATAGTCAAAAGCCCCATCTCGGGCTTACACTAACTCCAGCTACAGTCGTCTATACACCCTGCCGCCCTCTGGTGTCCTTCCGCAACGCGTTGCCTGTTCCGAAATGTTGCAAATTATATTTTCGTGTTTATTGTAAAGCTCGCGAGAATTACACTGCGAAAAATATTGTTGTGCTTTGTACACAAATTAATAATAAACATTGTCAGAATCTAAACAAGCTCGCAATTTCTTAAGCTGATCATAAAATGTTTATTTGAAGAACTTTTCCCTTATATCTGAAAAATATGTTCAGCACAAGAAGTATATTTTAAATTTAAGAAGTTTTTAACTTCCATTCAAACTATTTAATGCTTAGTTTTAAAAAGGCTAAAACTGAAGATGCTCAATTTAAATCCTTAGTTTTAAGGTCAATCAAGGTCAGTTCGTACTTTAGCGCAATATTTAAGAACGAAATGTTTTTAAATCCTAAGCATATAAATTTTGTTTAAAGTTAGTTTACTTTTTTTCAAGTATATAAATTTTTTTTTAAGTTTCTTTTTCCATATTTGCTCATTTTTAAACAAGGACTATTCTAATTTAAAAACGAAATGTGCTTTACACTTTAAGCACAAAATGAACTCGAGCCGGACTGTACTAGAATTTGAGCAGCGCTTTTTCTCTGAGTGTACAAAACTTGGAATGCAGGGGCACAGGCGGCAGCCAACGTGGCTCGTGTTGTGTTACATGTGTGTGTGTCGTTGTATTTTATTTCCATTCGCTTTTTTTCTCTCGTATTTTGCTTAGTCCCCGAGTCGCGCTGCCAAGTGGCAAAATGTTAAGCCAGTGTGTGAAGCTGGGGCTGGATTTTAATGCTACCTATAGCATATCGGTATGTTTGTGTGTGCGAGGGTGTGCGAGGGTGTGTGTGTGGGTGTGTAGGGATATGTGTGTTGTGGGCGTTTGTTTCGGGCATCGGTTGCATGCAACACAACGGCGCCTCGTTTTTGTGTGTAATTTCATTTGCAAACGCCACTTGCTGGCTGCTAATTAAATTTTAGCTTTGTCAGGGGATTTGCACTTGGGGCATGTGGAGAGCATTTCGTTTGTCCTTTTTGTTGTGTCGGTTGTTGTTATTTTGTTACTGCTAACTGTTGCTTGTGAGCCGCCACAATAGACAATTTGTGGCATATCGGCGGCACCAATAGGCTGGATACCAATACCAATAAATCATATTAGCTTCAAGTCAAAGACTCCTAAGTTTAATTTGTGCTTGGTATTAAAAAACTTAAATAATCTCAATTATTTCAAGTCAGTTTAAAATGCATTAATATTAATCATTTCTTGCTTAGAACCAGCTATTTTAGTGATAGCTGGTTCGGTTCAAAGCTCGATAAAATGTATTTAAACGCTCGAACTGGATAGATTAGCCGATTGACAGGCAATTTAATTCAATTCCCGAAGTTTGCTCGTAATCTCAACAACATTTTTTTATTGCAAATCTTTTTTATTTCAATTTTCCTTTTAGGCAAATAATTTTATAGATTTTAATTGAGCTCTTTAGTTTTAAATGAACGAATTAAGAGATTATTCACTGTCAAATCTATTCTATTTTTTATTAATACAATTTTTTGTTAAATGATTAACGGCATTGAACATTTTTTTTATTTATTTCCTCATTTATCGAGCAATGACAATAAAAACCTAGTTAATCGACAGCTAAATAATGATTATCTGATTTATATGCAAGCCTTACAGTTATAGTTGAATTTTCGCCCCATCAAGTAAAGTCTATCTAGATGCTGAAATTGTTTATTGTAGAACCATTTTCGAACCAACTACAGCAAATGAGTGCTGTGCATGCAAATCAATAAGTTAACGATCTAATCCATTTCCGCTGTTGCGACTTGCATACAGATTGCTCCAAATATGGCTAATACAAGCCCCCCCGCCCTCTCTCTCTCTCTCTCATTCTCTCTGTCTCTCTTTTTAGTTAAGTTTTCTCAATATGTTTGGCTGCAAGCACATGCAAAATTTCTAACCTCAGGCACACACACACTCGCACATACACAGCTCATTTGGGAATAGCTATTGGGGGGAATTTTGGGTATTGCTGGCTTGCTCTGCTTGGCTCTGTAATTCTTAGCTGCAGTGGGCGTGGCAGAGGCGTTATTGGGGGGGTCAGCAAAATGCTGGGATGCTTTGACGTTTCTATCGATGTGGACGCGGCTGTTGTCGTCGTCGTCGACGCTGTCTAACTAAGCGCATGACTTGCATATTTATGCGATATATGCGAAATGAATTGTTTGTTGTGGTTGTCGTTGTGTTTGTTGTTGTTATGGTTGTTGCTGTGGTTGTTGCTGTTGTTGCTTAAAGAAGCGGCAGCACTGACAGGCAGCAAATAATGATAATAAATAAGCAACGCCACGTCAAAAGGCTAAACAAAAATGGTTATAAATAAATAAAGAACCATTTGAACGAATGAGCGAATAGATGAGTGAGTGAATGAGTGAATGAGTGCATGTACAGCCCTGTGCAAGGCGACAAACTCAAAGTCCGGCGAGCACAACAAGTGCATGCGATGATATTTTTAAAGCAATTCGATGCAGCAGACACGTTTCCCAGCAGCAGCAGCAGTTGCAGTAAAAAGCAGCAGCAGCAGGAAAACTAATCATTTTATGAGCAGATCAAATGACAGGCAGAGGGCGGGGCTGACTATGGGGGAAGCTGGAGAGCTGACTATGCTAGGTCGCGGGGCACAACAGTCAAAGTCAAAATGGCTGTCAGTCAAAGTGAAACGTAGCAGCCCGTGCAAATAGCTCACAGAATGTTGGTGTGCGTGTGTGTTACATAAGTTTGTCTGTTTTAGAATTTTGTGGCAAAAGCATCAGGTGCGAGCGAGAGCAGCTGCAAGTGCCATTATCGCCATTTCGCTCGCACGCAACGTGCGCAAATGTGTTAACATAAATGTAACACGTTTCGCTGTGGCAACAACCAACACGAGCAACAACAACAACAACAACAAACCACAGCGAGCAACCAACAACAACAGCAACAATTGAAAACACTGCACGTTGCCATGTCACGTAGCTGCTTTTGCATGTCAGCTGCAGTCGAGGGGTGGCCCGTCACAACCGGGAGAAGATTTTCGCCAACGAACGTAACTGTCACATTGGCAAGTGTCAAGAAAATTGTTCAAGCTGCCTTTTTTTTTGCCAAGGAAAACCCCAAAATCATCTTAAAATATACCAAAAATTCTATTCTATTCAAACTGACATGATCTCTGGTCTAAAGCTGCGGATATTAATAATGTTGATGATGATTATGGCGATTTGGTTGGTAGTTTCAGGTTTTTTAGCAACCATTTGCTAATTACAAAAATAACACGCTTGTGAGCATTGTGCAAACGTTAAATATGAACTTGGATTTTGATTTGACTCAGTCAAAACACACAAGTTAGAGTTAAGAGCAGTAACTGCAAGAGTTTGAAGAGAATGAAATTGAGAGGTAGAGTATTGGCAAGCCCAAGAGAACTACATAAGACTTAAAGTGCTATGCCCCATAACATGGCTTACCACACCTGGCCAAAGGTCATCAGATAATAATTAAAAAAGCGCCTTATCTAAAAATTGAAGCACATCTTAAGCTTTCATGTGCTTTAAAAGCTGACTGCCTACTAGATTAATCCATTAACTCAAGATATTTTTAAATAAATACTTCTGGAAGATAAGAAGATATATTTTTAAGCTTTCGCTTAAAGATAGTAAAATACTCTAAAACCAAAAACTGAGTGTGAGAGAAACATATAGAAGCTTTGAAAGCTCCCTCTATAAGAGAGTAAAATCCTTAAACAAAATTGTAAAAGCCAAATATTGAGTGTGAGTGCAAAATATTAAAGCATTTAGGTGCTTTAAAAGCTTCCGCTTAAAGTGAATAAGATACAGAGGGCCTCTCAAGCGTTCATGTGCTTTCAAAGCTATTAAGAATATACAAAAAATAAGTACTCTAGTGTTAGGTAACTGTCGAAACTTTCATGGACTTTGAAAGCTGCTTTGCAACACTAACATATATGACTGCATATTTTAGATTTTTACAAAATCGATTGAAATTTTATTTGTTAATTAACAAAAATGTTTTTTCAAAGTGATTTACTTAGTGATGAGCGCAGAAAATGCAATTTTCCAATATATTTTACGGTATTTTGACAATTTCAATTGTTTTCATTGAATGTGACTTTCTCAGCTCGCATGGGTTAGTCAATTTGTTTGCAGCTAATTTCCTGAACTATTGAAAATTTTAGCATGCGCCCACTCCTTACACACACATGCACACACACATATACACACTTGTAAAACCGAAACGTCAAATGGCAGACAAGTGACCAGAGAACACAAATACGAGAATTCTGTGGGACCCTTCAATGAAAACAACAAATATTCGATTGTTGCTGCTGCTGCTGCTGCTGTACATTTTGCATAGACAATGGTGCGATAGACAGACGACAACGACAACAACAACAACAACAACAACAATGACAACTTTGAATGCGTTACAGTTCAATACAGACCGTCAGAGTGGATAAAACCGACGGCCGGGTGGAGGAATGGAGGTGTACCAGGGGGTAGGGGCTAGGGGCTAGGCCAATAGGCGGCGCATTGGCCGCTCGATCGAATGTGCGTCCCATAAGAACGAAATTAAATTCTGTCGCGACAATACAACATGCGGAATACGTAATCAATTGCCGACATCGATATAAATACAAATTTACATTGGAGCAGATACACTATATATATATAAACAAAAACAAACTTATATGCGTATAAATATATACATACGTATTGTTGTAACTTGATGCCGCATCTGTATCTGTGCCTGGTTCAACACAAGGCCCGTGCATATATTTACATTGCCTTGAGTACATAGAGTCGAAAGCAAATGTGAAGCCAAAGTAGCAAACGAAAGTTCTTACAAAATACTTTTTGAACCTTGACAGGGGACAAAC